TCTCTCTCTCTCTCTCTCTCTCTCTCTCTCTCTCTCTCTCTCTCTCTCTCTCAACTTATTGCACTTGTGCAAAAGTTGATCGAAAACGAACAGATCTAAATAATGTAAACGACTAATTTTTCTTGCAAACCACAGCGTGATTACTGAGTGTAGTGCGTGCATATCACATATGATATGAAGGAAGTGCCCTGGATATTGTGTTTACTATGATATTTAATGCGTATGAGTAATTCAGCATGAAGTCACAGCTGATTTTTTATCAAAACAAGGCAATTTGTCACATTTATTTTGCGATTATGTAACAGTTATTTCGGCAAAAGAATATCAGGAGTATTTCGCAAGTGTGTAAAACAGATTGCGTCATTTTAATGATATATCTTTTTAATCAGTTGCGGTTTTCAGGAATTTTAAGCATGACTTTCGCTTCTAACGTCATCAATCCGATATGACCGCGGTGACTGATCAGAAACCTTGATCGTTCATTTAGGGTGATGTGACAATAAGGAAAAACGGACGAAGGGGTTATTATGGTGGTTGCGGCCGATCATATTGCTTTGCGTAATAATTCGTGCAAGGCAAGATTTTCTTGCGGCCTCGCCGGCTTGGAAAATGTCGTGTCCTCTCGCAAACGCCGCTCGCGTTACGCCGAATTCGGCGAAACGGCACCTCTCCTGAGTAGCACGAAGGTTCGTCTTGCACGTTTTCGTGCTGAAAGCATTATTTTATCTTTATTGCTCATTAAACGTCGAAAGAAGATAGAGTGATGTTTTTAGCACGAAAACATGCAGAACGAATTTAGCTCAAGTGTTGGACCAATGCAGAATTTACAGCGTGGTCCACGATGGCAGCAGGAATAGTAGTCAGAAGTAAACAATAAGAATTGGCCAATCATAGTCGATTATTAAAGCGTTTTCTACAATGGCAGTAGGAGTAGTAGTAAGAAATAAGCAGTAAGTAAATAGACCAGTCACAATCGATTATTTTTGAAACGTGAGAATGGAATTGGTTAATTTGCTTACTGCTTATTTCTTACTACTACTACTGCCATTGTAGAAGACGCTTAAAGGGACGTCTACATTGCAAGTAAATAGCAAGAAGTAGGAAGTAAGAGTAAGAAATTGACCAACCACAGTCGAATGTGAGAAGAATAATCAACTATGATTGGTCAATTTCTTAAGGGACGTCTACATTGGAAGTAAACAGTAAGAAGTAGGAAGTAAGAATAAGAAATTGACCAATCATAGTTGATTATTCTTCTCACATTCGACTGTGGTTGGTCAATTTCTTACTTCCTATTTCTTGCTATTTACTTCCAATGTAGACGTCCCTTTATTCTTACTTCCTACTTCTTACTGCTTACTTCCAATGTAGACGTCCCTTTAAAGAATAATCAGCTATGATTGGCTCATTCTTACGGCTTACTCCGTATATTGTAAACCAAGCCTAGGGGCCTTCACACACAAATTGACATAACAATAACGTATAGTGAAAGGGTCATAGGTGTAAGTCTGAAATTAAAGAGAGAGAGAGAGAGAGAAACAGTAACGTAAGACGTATCATAAGAATTGACCAATCACGTTGAGAATCGTCGAATTGTAAGGTCGTCATTTTTATAAATACTTGATCATAATTGGTCAATTCTTATGGTATGTCTTAAGGCCCATCTACACTGAGATTGGCAGTGAACAGTAAGACGTAAGTAGTAAATAAATTGACTTAATCATAGTTGATTATTCTTGTAATAATCGATTGTGGTTGGTCAATTCGCTCACTGCTTACGTTTACTACTTACTGCTAATCCCACTGTAGATGGTCCTTTTCGTTACTGTTATGTCAATTTGTGTATGAAAGTCCTTATTTGTGTGTGAAGCAGCGAACCATTGGGCCAACTAATATATACTGCTGAGGGAGTAGCATAGGATCAATGTTGAATCCAATAGCTGCCAATATAGGATCTACAAGATAACTACCGGTTTAAAAAGTTCTGTTGAGAAATTTGAATTTGCTCAAACTTGAAGTTGAGCTTCTCAGTCACAAAAATATAAAACTATTTTAAATTGTATTATTTTAAATAATTTAAATTACATTACTTTAAATAAATTAAATTATATCATTTTAATCTCAAAATAAATTACATTTTTTATTTTAAACAGAAATTTATAATAATGAAAGACAATAAGAACAATATCTTTTTTCTTTACTATTTTTATTGTCCAGCATTATTATATATTTTTAATTTTGTCATTAAAGAGCTTAATATTATTCACTTGATATATTTATACATATTTGAAGTAAGTTAAATCATATTGAAATTTTTTGAATTAATTCTTTGAATTAACACGACGGAATCATAAAGAAAACGAACAAACGTTGGAACGCATTCCTGATAAAAAAAGTTGATAGAGAACGATAGAATAAAATTCTATCGTTCTATCGTTTTGAATATGGATTTTGGTTCGTGAATTTACAAATATGAATAGTATTCTATCGTATAAAATAGAATACAATAGATAGTGATAGAATTTCTATCGTTAGTTTCCTATAGAATACGAAATCGTTTATAACCAGATAAAATACGATAGGATTTATATCTGAATTTGCATGCGAGAACGATACAGTTTACAGAAAACGATTCAAATTGATAGCGCTATCAATTTGAATCGTTTTCTGTAAACTGTATCGTTCTCGCATGCAAGTTCAGATATAAATCTTATCGTATTTTATTTAGTTATAAACGATTTCGTATTCTATAGGAAACTAACGATAGAAATTCTATCACTATCTATTATATTCTATTTTATACGATAGAATATTATTCACACATTTGTGAATTTACGAACTAAAATCCATATTCTAAACGACAGAAAATGATAGAACGATAGAATTTTATTCTATCATTTTCTATCAACTTTTTTTTACCAGGGGTTACCTACTTACTATCTGATAACAGAGAGGTAACGATGAGAATAACGAGTCTTTTATGTTTCAGTGTAACATGCCTTCTTACAAGTTGACTTACTTCCCCAGTAAAGCGTTGGCCGAGCCGATTCGCTTCCTCTTTAGTTATGCCGGCATCGACTTCGAGGACGATCGCTTCAACCGAGATGACTGGCCCAAGATTAAGTCGGGTATGTGTATCTGTGTTAACGAATAATCACTAATGACGCATTCTATATTTATATTTATATGTTTGAGCCACCTAATTGTAATTCATGAGACTACATAATACCATCTAATAATAATTCTCCTCAAGATCCGATCGACGAGTGCGACGCATACATTACAGAAGTCTCCATATTAGCTTCAGGACTAAGTCGTCAAACATATTCTTATCGCCGTTATGTTGAATCTTCTTACTTATAAGCGTGGAATGCACGATGCGAATAAGACACGGGCGTTTGCTGTTGCGCAATGAATTATTTTGAATCTAATCATTAGCTCAACCAGGCTCCAAAGGGCACTTGTTTCATAAACGGAACGGAAGTGAATGTTTTGATAATAGAGCTTTTCTGTGCTTCTTACTGCGTGCGACAATGTCCTAACGGAACAATCGGCATTGTCACGTAAATACAATGCTCTGCGTTCAACCGTTAAACGGATAACAATACGCTGGGTTCATCGCACGATATCGATGTAGAAACGGCGTATTTATGCAAGAAAGATATTTTCGCTCAATTCTAGTTTGACAAAATATTGATATGACATAATATTGAAATAGTGATAAGTTTCGCAATTGAGATTAAGCTGTTTGCATAATGGAGCAACAGCGTTCCAGTTATTCTTTACATATCTTCCCATACAACACTGAGATATCCTCAGGACATCCTAAAGACATTCTGAGAACGTGCCTTTATCCTGAGAACATCTCCAGGATATACTCTGGAGATCTTGGGCTGTCTGGATTTTATTTCCAAACAAAATTGCAGAATTTTTACTGAGACTTTAAATTCATGCATAATGCACATACTTTACAGCACATTCAGCACAAAACAAGTTACTACTGTCAAGTATCGATCGTTTAAGTTAGATTTAATTGTCATAAGATCGAATGCAAAAAACGGTTCTTTCCAACCAATTCTTACAAACATTTTATCTTCAAGCAAAATTGCAGAATTTATTACTATTAAGAGACTTAAATTCAGACTTTATAGCGCGTTTGACACTAAATGAGTTTCCGTTGTCAAATGTAGACTCAATTTTTTAAGTCGAGCTTTAGCGACAAATTAATTTGTCGGTCGTCATTACATGTCTGATGTAATATTCACCGCGATATGAGACAACGCGCGCGAGGTTTCTTATCGCGAGTATCACATTACAAGGCCTTATTTTCAGATATGCCGTTCGGTCAAGTGCCCGTCCTTGAAGTTGATGGCAAAAAGATCCACCAATCCGTAGCTATTTGTCGCTATATGGCGAAACAATGTGGCCTCGCCGGCAAGGATGATTGGGAAGCTTTGGAAATCGACGCAACTGTCGACACGATACATGACCTGCGTCAAAGTGAGTAAACGATATTTCATTCGTAACTAAATATTATCTTCTGAAGAGTTCGTTAGAACGATTAGGAATTCATACATTTACGCCAGTTCAAGTCTTAGTAGGAGTTTGTCACAACTTAAAGACTAGATTCTGCTGCTAGAGAAAAGATCTCCGTCAGTGGAATAAATCAATACTATCAAGTCGTTGTATATAAAAGTTTTTTATTTTTTATACGAATTTTTATTAATCCAAGCAGTACAATTTTTTATCAAAATAATTATCTTTGCGAATTCTATATATTTCTCTCAAAGCGAAACAAGTATGTTAATTCTATTTTTTGGGAAGCCAAAAATTTGTTTCAAAAAGTATCTTTTAACTCGATATCATTAGAAATATTTTCTAGTGTAAAAATCCAACGAAATACTTGACAATGAGAATAAGATCGATACGTAAAATACTTTTTATGTACTTATAAAGCGGGGAATTTAATTTAACTTGATGAGACCGGATCCTGTGAATTCGGGTAGATAAACTCGTGTGAAAAGAAATCCAGCGAGTGCGATTGAAACTATATCTCGTACTATCTCTTTATTTTTTATCAGAACTCGCGGCTTACTCTTACGAGACCGACGAAACTACTAAAGCGGCGAAACACAAAATAGCCAAGGAGCAATTGCCATACTACTTGGAGCGTCTAGATGCTCAAGTGCAGAAGAACGGTGGCTACTTCGTTGGCGGCGCCCTTAGCTGGGCCGATTTCACTTTCGTCGGTCTGCTTGACTACTTGAATCACATGAATGACAAGCAGAACATCATCGAGAAGTACGACAACTTGAAGCAGCTGAAGCAGAAGGTTGAAAAACTGCCAGCCATCAAGAACTGGATCGAAAAACGCCCGCAGAGCGACTTGTAATATCGTTTCAATCAACGTCGGTTTTCGCGAGAAAGTCTGCGTGACTAACAATTATCTATACGTGATGTTATTCGAAATAATACATTTCATATTAAAACTATTATTGGTAACGAACCAGTATTCGTGAAGCGGAACTACGTTTCTTCTTTCCACTACATAGTTTTATGTATATTTCAATAAATCTTTACTTTCATTACTTCGTCCATTATTTCACAAGCTGTGTGCGCAAATCCTGCTTGCTCCTGATTTGTTATAGTATATCCACGTTATTGTACAAATGCATTGGTTTTATTTTAAAAAGTTTGTCTGAAAATTTTGATTTTGATGCAATTTTAGAAATGATATAAAACCATATTCAGATATGTAAGAAATAATCAAATATTCAAGAAAAATATAAAACTTTCGGCTGGAATAAAAATCATCCTCTTTCCGCTTTGATTGTTCTCAGACACTGAATAAATCGACTGCATATTGCTGCTTTCATGTAAGAACACAATGCTTTCTATGAAAAAAAAATTCTCATAAGAAACTGTATCCGAATTTCCTACACATCGATATATATGTTAAATATATAAATACATTTTTTTTTTATATCTTGATTGTTATCAATAACCAATATGATAATATCGCATCTCATTAAGTTATATACAGGGTATGATTAATTGCGTTTGAAAAATCGATTTTTTGGAGAATTAGAGAGTTACTGAGATGAGTTAAAACGTGTTTGTGCATCCCGAATTGTATTTATTCTCATTATATCTGATCAATTTAATTAAGTTAGTTGTTTCTGTGCAATCGACAAAATTTAATGTAGTAATCAACACTTGATTCTTGCTATATCGTAAGAGACACGATGCCTATTTGAAACTAACAAACTGACACTTTTTCAACGATTATCGCGCATTATATCATATCGTTACTTCTTTATCTCTTATATCGTTACGTTGATTTTATAGCTAAGGTTAATTGGTAAACAGATTCTGGTTTTCCAGAAGAAGGATATCCTCTTAAAAAAATTACCTTTTTATCTCGATAAGTTTTAGCAGCAAGTTAATAAGAACAATGGTCACTTTGCCCATAACAAAGTAATGATTTTCTGAATACTGTATTCATAAAATATGAATATAGATACATTCCAAAATGTTTATAATATAAATAGATACATAGATATAAATAGATACATGTAAATGTTTAAAAAACGAAAAAATATTGGACGAAATACACTTGTATGAGCGTGAGAGTTAATTTTAATTTCGCCTTTTTTTAATTTCACTCTTGCGAAAATACGAAACACAGTTCTGTACAATGTTGTACTTGTCTCGATTTTGAACTCGACTCCTTATCGTTATCGTTATCGTGTACGATTTTTTTGTGAGTTGTTTTCGCCACGATGCAAGAGAAGATAAGACGCTGAAAAATGAAATTGAATGACTTGATTATTGCACAATAAATGTAAACAAGCTGAACATTATTAAATAAAAGCGCATTGTTTTATCTTTGAGAGAATTTTAATTTTGATCCATATAACAAGATGATGTCAAATGACATCCCAGATAGCACAGAGAATTAAAAAAGAATTCAGTTGTATGTCACCAATTCTGAGTTCATTTTCAGATGTAAAAAGAATTCTTCAGAGTTCAGTTCAGTGAAAAGAATTCTTTTTGTATCTAAAAATGAACTCAGAATTGGTGATATACGACTGAATTTTTTTAGAACTCTCTGTGCTATCTAGGATATTATTCATGTTAGGAACTCATTAAAACGTTATTGAAACGTCATTTGACAACATAATTTTTGCTGGGGAATTCTTTTCAAACACTAAGTAATAGTTATATAACTGTTAGTTATAATTTCCTATTTAACCATATAACTGTTATATAATGTGTGTACAATATAACAGTTATATTATTGAGTAGAAAATTTTAACTAACAGTTACTTTTAATTAACAGTTACTTGGTGTTTATTAAGTTCTTAAGCAATACTCTTTATCTTTACTATTACGTTTATCTTATTTTTTTTAAATTTTTTCTCCTCTTAAATTATATATAACTGACGATAAGACTGAAGTAAAGTTTCGTCTCTAAATCTATCTCCAGATAGCGCAGGATGTTTTATGAACGTACATTTTAAGTTTAGATTTTAAATTATATCAATATTTATTGCATATCTATTGTTGTTGCATTGTTTTCAATATTGTGAATAAATATGTCATTAGAATGTTTTGTGAACATTATAAGGATATATTATATAAAGCATAAGTTAATGAAGCTAACGCTAGAACCATTGAAGTGACTACTTGCTACCACGATCTTTGAAGTCAAGCAATAGTTGAGCGTACACACACTGGGATCTCCGAGACTCCAGGCAAGGTTTGAAACTCTAATATTAGTAGAGAGAATAAGTAGGGAGGATACGACCACCGTGTAAACAAAATTTGAAGATCCTCTGTAGATAGCAACTGTCAGAGCAGTCAATTGTCTGTCGGTTTTATAGTAATTCACACATTCATAGTAAAATAAGCCCAGGGGTCTCCCGACCCCAGTGTGTACTTCGTGCAGCTTTTTTTGCAAGTAAATATATTTTGTAATTAATTTTATTCGAGTTTATAGTGTAAATATATATTCTAAAAAATGTTAGATTAAATAAGTAATGTAAAAAAAAAAATTAATTTTTATTGGGAGACAGAAATACATGGACTAAACCAAAATGATACTGCCTTGTTGGGTGAACGTTATTTGCCGCTTTTAAATTATTGATGTTTTTTTATTTCTGTTACTTAATGTTTCCTTAATAAATTCATTGTTTGCTGTTTGGTTTTGTCCACGTAATAAGAATAAAAAGACTATTGCATGCCGACGGTGTAAAATTCGTCGATGCAAGTCTCATCGATCTTTGTTGTGTACTAAATGTACGATATGACGAATATTTATCTTTTTAAATATTTTGTATTCTTTATTTTTTTATAAATTAACATGCATTACAAGTTATTAAGTTTAATTTGTATTTTTTAACAAAAATCCTAACTCTTATACCTGTCTGCAAAACCGCCAGAAAATAGAAATATGAAAAATCGTCAATCTTGGAACCTTGTAATTTTCATGATAACATTCCAATATTTAAGCGACGATTTTTTTCTTTGTACCTTGAAATATGCCCTTTCAAAATCTGACACTTTTTTCGATTATCTCTATTACCAAAAAAGATATATATTTTTCAAGCTATTACAGTAAAATGACGTTTCCTTTGCATTTATAAGTAATTCTAATGTTTCAATACGTCTTTATTATGTGATGCCTATTATAATTTAATTCTAATTCTTAATAAATATATGTGTTTATCAGTCTATTAACAATCGGGAAAAAAAAGTCAAAATACGGTGGTTTTTACCGGAGTTATAATAAGAAAAGTAGCTAGGATCCTTCAGATCCCAGTGTAGCATTTACGTATGCGAAAAATAAGCGTGTATAGTTAGGGGTTAATAACGTGATAAGTCTGCAATGATATGTTGGGGCAAATAAATTGAACTAGTAGAGCGTATTGAAATGAACTAGTTGTTATGTATTTTTATTTAACAAATCGTAGTCGTATACAGACATACAGCTTATGCGAATTTAAGCAAAGTTAGATTTATCAGGTTTGAATCTCGGCTAAGTAAGGTGAATCTTAGCTGAATAACCCCGTACTTTATAATTAGACCCTGTACTTTGTTAGTTCTGAAGTCTCTGCTACGAGCCGCCACTATTCGTAATGAAGATTCAAGGACGTAGTAGAAAAAAAAATTAGACGTATTTTATTCTCAAACAGCATGAATCAACAATAAGTTATATAACTTTTACCTTTTGATCACCACGATAATTATCTTATTTATTTACAGATTAATTGATTTACAGATGTGTTTATTTATACGTATATTTCTCAAGCATACAATTATTTTTTATTTCTGCATACTTATTATATTAATTAATTAATTACTTTTTAAATATTTCATTATTTAATCGTTTTACACGAAAGAATTTATTGGAAGATGCATATGAACTCGAATAGTTACTTGTATGTATTGTGTAACTAGGACTTTAAATAAAAATTTAAACAGGAACGTGTGTGTGTGTGTATGTCGCGCGCATGTGTGTGTGAACTGAGAGGAAATTATATATCAAGAGGTTCCCTAGGTAGCAGAGTGACGTCAAATAACGTATTAACCCTTATGTGCACTCGGAATTACCTACGTTGTAGCACACTCGGAGTACGCGGGTACCCACCTATAGATTTTCTGAAATATTTACTTTCTAAGAAGAAGCAATTGTTTCTATGAGCTTACATAATTGCGATATTAAAGAAGAGATAAAAGGCCTTTTCTAGGTATATAGACTAATTTAGCTTATACAAAAAAGAAAAAGACCAATCAACGTAGAATATTTTTAAGACAACTAAGTGAAGAGCTTGCCATGCCGATAACTGAAGATCGCTCTTAGAATCTGCAAATAAGGAGAAATTATTCTACAAAGTTGACAGTTAAGAGCATTCTCAACAAGCAAATTTCTTCTGCTGAGCTTCCTTCTGGATCTCAGCCGCGGTTAGACCACACCGGCAGAAAAGTGGTAACTGGTTCCTGTCATATTTGCTATAAACAAACAATAAAAACGCAGGAAAACCAGAAAATCTTGTGTAGTTTGTAGTAAACCCGTTTGTACCCGTATGTAATGAGCACGCGGTAACGATGACTCAATGTAAAGAATGCGCTGAATGAGTGAATAAATAAATAAAATTTATATTTTTATTTCAAAATCATTTGTTCTTATTTATTTAACTTCTGTCATGATACTAACTGAAAATTGTACGATTGAATAAGAAATCACACAATCCTATGCATGGGTACCGGAGTATTCCGGGTGTCCCTGTCGAGTTAATTAAATTAACGCAATAATTTTCTTTATTCCTAATAAAAAAAAATATCTGGAAGCATATTTTAATAAAAAAAATGGTCAAAACGCGACGATCCGGATGGATTTAGAAAAATTTTCACTGGAATATAAACAATTTTCAAGAAATGTATGCCGGTGAGTATCTGGATGTGCACATAAGGATTAATAACGGCTTAATGACATCTTTAGTGTCAACAATACGTCATTAAAACGTTTTTAGACGTCATTCTGGGTCAAAAACCCACAGTTGCTTATTTAACACAATCTCATGACACGAACGTCTTACTAATCACACTAATTAGCAATGTTAATTATCCTTTTTCGAAACTAGTACATCAAGCAGATTAACCATTTTAGACTAACACGATATTTTAAATATTAAGACGTATGTAAATTGATATAATTGTACGTCCTTAAAATATTACGATGCATCTCACATAAATTGAACTATTTTCGATTCCGATTTTGTTGCGTATAATTTGTGTGTGTGTCAGATGCGAATGCAACGGAATAAAATTACGAGTTATTTTTAATAATACTGTGCACGCGAAATGAGACCGTGTGATATTGTTCAAATATGAGACGTAGTACGTGCACACGTCAGAATTGCGCCAGTCATTAAACGCTACTGGATTCTACTGCGCACAGATTGCGCAATAAGCGTTTCGTATGTGTGCGCGTATACGTGTGCGATTGAGAACGTTCTATAGATTATCTCGATAAAACGGCGTGTATCTCCAAGCAGAATATACTTTTAGTGAAGGAAACTGTCAGTCGTTTGCAGGTTGTCAAGAGTTTCGTGTGGACTACTTCCACTTCTCGATACTGTTTTACCGAGAAAATTGCAGCTACAAAGTAATTGAATATTTCACTTCATCATTCTGTTATTTTCATTTTGTTCTTCTTTTCATTCAGACCGAACGAATGATTCTTACGAAACGTAGGCGTTTCCAAAAATGATTCTCTGAAACAAACGCGAAGTTTATAATAACACGATTAAAATAATTGCAGTTATATTGCAATTAAATACGAAGTCATATATTGTCTATTCATCGTGAAGATATTCGAATAATAATAACAATAATTTAATCTCATTTGCATCATTTTTCCAGCAAACATGCCGACTTATAAGCTAATATATTTTAATGTAACCGGTCTTGCGGAGTCGATTCGATACATGTTCCATTATGCCGGCATTAAATTCGAGGATTTTCGATTCAGCACTGAAGATTGGCCCAAGTACAAGCCAGGTATTTTAACTTACTGATTTTACCATGATTATTAAAACGTTGAACGACACTTCCATATTTACTTTCTCTCTCTATCTCTATTTCTCTCTCTCTCTCTCTCTCTCTCTCTCTCTCTCTCTCTCTCTGTTTTATAGAAAATTGTATTTAAATTTCTAATTTCAAATATATTTCTATAATTTTCGAATATATTCTTGTTATTTTAAGTCATAAAAGTTTGTCTCGAAGACTTTCGCGTCGAAGATGTATTGTTTTGTGATCACATTTTTGCTTTGCCTGCACCACAGACATGCCTTTGGGGCATGTACCGGTTTTGGAGATCAATGGTAAAAAGTACAGTCAATCCAAAGCCATCGGCCGCTACGTCGCCAAGCAGTGTAATCTGTATGGTTCGGACGATATTGAAAACCTCGAGATCGACGCTATCATCGATAGCATTGACGATTTGAGACAAGGTGAGTTACGATTACCGCTGGTGGCTGGTAAAATAAGTGATATTCGCCTAGGTCACGAGTATTGCAATGTCAAATTGATGATTACGTAACGATAATCATGTTCGATCTTGATATTTCTCTATCGCTATAATGAGTGATTAGTCAGCATGATACGAAACACGTTACGAGTGGAAAGTTTTTATCTCATACGCGCAAGGCATTTATTGTATGTACCTTGAGCCAAGTCGAGGCTATTTGAAGGTAACAATTTATGCATTTCCTACACAATCGTGCGATAGTTGCATGTTGTATTATTATCTACGTCCATCATTGTTCTTGCATCATTTTCTGCGCCGCTCATTCTCTCTCTCTACTCTCTTAAAGTGAATCAGTGAAACATTATTGAAAACAATGAATATACACTGATTTGCAGCTATAAGTACAGTACTGAAACTGCTCAGTACTATGCTTATAACTGATATCAGTGACTATTCACTGATTCACTTTAAGAGAGTATCTCTCTCTCTTCCTCTCCTTTTCTCTTTTTGCTCTTTACGACGTGAAAGTTCCAACACATTTCTCTTTGCAGTTCTGAGCATTTACCATCGGGAACAAGACCCCACTATCAAAGAGAAGTTCAAGGCAGTCGTCTTGGAAAAATTACCCTTCTACTTCGATAAGTTCGAGGAGCAAGTGAAGAAGAACGGTGGTCACTTTGTCCGCGGCAAGGTAACAATTTTTGATCAGATATGTACGAGATGTCTTTGGATTTCCTTACGTCTTTAAAAACGTAAATCTTTTTTCTGCTTTTCATTTTTCTTCAAGTTGATGAGTTGATTATATTTGTCGTGAGTCATCGAAACATATTTCATCACGTGCGAAAGGAACATTTACTTACAAACACACGTTTGATAGACATACGTTAACGAATGCGAGCGTTACCTCACCAGATAGCACGATAAATTGTTTAAGTGTTCCTAAAGTTTTCTTCTTTTCTGAATTGTACTTCTTCAGGAATTCGTGGAAGAATACTATAAGAATGATTTAAGAAGTTACATGCATTATGATTGGAGTTCCTCAGAACTTCTTAGAGTATTCATATAGAGTTATACTGTATGAACATAGATGTACTGTATGAACATAGATGACTTTATGAATTCAAGAAGGATAATGTTTATATACAGAAAGAGAAATACAAATCCAGTAAACACTAACTAACAGTAACATAATATCAGTGTTATAATTTCCTATTCAACACACATAATGTTAGTTACATTCTTATGTAGGAAATTATAATATTAATGTTAAGTTATTGATATATTGATAGTTTATTAGAAGGATATTCAATAAACACCAACTTTAAAAGTAACGTTACATCAATATTATAATTCTCATTCAACAATATAAATGTTACGTACAATATATTCCAGATAGCACAGAGAATTCAAAAAGAATTCAGTCGTATGTTACGAATTCTAAGTTCATTTTTAGATGCAAAAAGAATTCTTTTCACTGAATTGAACTCTGAAGAATACTTTTTGCATTTGAAAATAAACTCAGAATTGGTGACATACAACTGAATTCTTTTTAAATTCTTTTTGAGTTCTCTGTACTATGTGGGATGTTATATGTAACAGTTACACTGTTGACTGGAAAATTATAATATTGATGTAACGTTAATGTTTGTTAATGTTTAATGAGTAACAGTTCTCTTTCAACTGAAATAATTAAAATACATCCAGCTTTTCATTACATAAAAGAAGAAAGAAACCCAAAATTGCACAAGAATTATATAGAATAAAGAAAGAATTATATTAAAATGGTCACATCTTTAGGTAATAAAGTAACACTTTGTAAAATATGAATCCATTTCAAACATATTCTCACGATTTCAATTCAATAGTATCGCTTTTCATTTTATTATATCATTTATTTGCAAAGAAAATATATAATTATGACAATACACACACAAAATATGTTGCCACTGAAAGTGATATGTGTATCTGCTGCATGCAACCACAAGAAATAATTGTAACAAAACACTTGTAATTCCTCATGAATTCTCAGAGTGTTCTATGAATTAAGTCGCCAAGTATTCGCTATAATGAACTTCTGAGGAATACTTCAAGACGAACTTATTGTGGTTACTTCTTCACAAATTCTTCAGACATTCATTTTTTATTAATTATTCATTAATTCTGTATGTATTCTTTAAAGTGAATTCTCTAGGAACTTCTGTTCATCTCTGTGCTATCTAGATTGCTATCGAAATTGTAAAATAAAACGTGAACAAAATATTGACAGAATTTTTGCAGATAATAAATAAGCAAATGTATATTCATCTGTATACATACTAAAAAGAATTTTTCGATAAAAAACCAACATATGGATATTTTCGATCAAATTTTGATCAATTTTTATATCTGACCAAATAGATAATCTGGATATCCGATTAAATTTTATCGGATACTTTCCATCATAATGGTATTTCACCAGATAAACTGAAAAAATTATAAACCGATATCGGCGCCGATATAAAAAAAAAACTTATAAATCAATATTTCTCATCGGATATTTCCTGATCAAATACAAAAATTCATTAGTATTTTGATCGGAAATATCCGTTAACTTTTTATCGGATAATTTCTCTCAGTGTATGAGATTCCATTTGTCAACTCACAGAGATATCTAAACGTCGGAGCGGAAACGTTCCTACTTAAATGTGAAAAAATACGCGTGGCTCTCGTATTAATAATTTTATCTTTGTGTAAATACGTGAGAGCGCATCTCTGCATTTTCAGCTGACGTGGGCGGACATCGCGTATACATCGTTCGCCGGACCTTTATCAAACTTTTCGAATGTCTTAGAAGCGAAAATCAAGCTGAATCATCCGGAATTGAAGAAGCTGGAGACCAAAGTAAATGCCATCCCCAACATTAAAGCTTATCTGGATATACGTCCCAAAACTATTTTTTAAATCGAATCAACCAATCTACAATTTTATACATACCGCCTTCGACCGTGAACTCGTTATTCTGTACAACTTCTTACTTCATTCGCAACGACATTCTGTAAAAAGAGATACCACGCTGACTAAATGCGAAATAACATTGAACAGCCAGTTTGCAGCGTAACAAATATTAATATTGTTGTTACATGATAACAGTTTGCAGCGTAACAAGTATTAATATTGTTGTTACAATGTAAGAGAACGTTGAATTTTGTTAAATAAAAATATCAATACGTCTTTTACGAGAATCTCTTATTTCTGTATGTCTTCCCTTTGAAACTATTCCATAATGTTCCGAATATTCGCATTATTTTCTTACCCGAGCTCACTTTAGATAATTTATAATTGGCGATAAACTCGCGATAGAACTACATCTCGAGTTTTTCTGCTAATAATCATATCGAGTTGCATAAAGCGAGCTCACATCGTATCTGCTATATCATTGCTGATAAGGATAATAAAATAAAGATACGCCTGTAAATTGAAGATTCGCGAGTAAGCTGAAAGCAACATATCAAATGTGTAGTGCATAACTGCACTGATGTACGCTGAAACGGATAATTGCTACATGTTCTCATTTAACAAATCGTAACCTCGCATTGTACAGCTCATCGTTATTATGTAAACGAAACGGCACTGATTCGTAACATGATGAAACGAGAGACTTCCGATCGCCCGAAAATGTATGTAAAAAAAAAAAATAAATAAAAATATTCATGCATAAAGCATTACGAGGAGTAATCTTTTGCGCCGGCCGGCGAAAAATCTTTTTAACACTATTTTCACAACAAGAGAGTAGATAAAAATGACACAGATATCTTTTACGAGTAACTATGCGTGCCTGTTGATTTCGATGACTGGCGATGAAGTTGCAAATTTTTTATACACTTTATTGTGAAATAGTTATCTACGACAAGCAAAAACAAGAAACTACTCAGTGGCATGATAAGCGTTTGCATGTGTCTGAACGTGTGTATGTTTAATTTTGTAACTTAGAAAATAGTTATAAATAACCGGTTTTGCTAAGTTATCCAACTAGCCTTGGTCTCCCCTCTTGAACGGTATATGTTCTCTGGGTTGGGCAATATAATCGCAGTGACTGGACCTTCAGTCGTTCGCGGTTAGTGACGAATTCCGCATCGGCCGTTCTCTCTTTTCCATATTGTCTTGCCGAGTAAACTACAGACTACAAAAAATGTAATGAAATATCTTCTTTTTATAGTCATTTTATTTTGCACTTCGTCTTTCTTGATTGAATAAGTAATCCTTCTGAAATGCAGTGTTATCTAAAATAATATTCTAAGGCAAAATGCGAAATTTAATATAATTAAATATAATTTTAATGTAATTATAACAGTGTGCGCATGTTTTTACAGTCATAATTAATATTATATTATATTTAAGTGCAAAATCGACCCAGACAATACAAACTTAAAAAAATGTCTCAAAGATGTCCGAAAGTTGTGATAAAAAGACATTTAAATAAAATAGAATGCTTTAAAATTTTAAAAATTTTGGACATCTTTAAGACACCTTTTAGAAATTTGCATCATTCTGAGAATGTCAAGAATGTGCTGTAAATTCATCGTGAAGATGTATACAAACGTATTTGTGAAATTTTGCAGCAATCATGCCGACCTATAAGTTAACATATTTTAATGTGACCGGTCTTGCGGAGGCGATTAGATACTTGTTCCATTATGGTGGTGTAAAATTCGAGGATATCCGACTCACCTTTGATGATTGGCCGAAATACAAAGCAGGTATGTTATTGTACTCATTTTACTAATGTTGATAAAAAGTGGTCGATTCATAAAGAACAATATAGAGAAGCATCTAAATTCTAATTTATATATAAAAGAAAAGAAATACTCTGATCCCTTTTGACATTTTTAATAAAAGTACCGTACAGTTTTCTACGCAGCAACTGAAATTTTTCTTTCCAGATTGTCCTTAAAATTACCACAATAATCGACACTTGTTTCATAGGAAATCAGTTTCAAACGTCTATTTCAAGTGTTAAGTTGGTGTAAAAGATTTCCTACTTTTTCATGAAATCTTCATGAAAAATTTGCCTGTTAAAAGACAAATCCACGTTAAATATTAAAAAAAAAATACAGAATCGATTTTGTTCGTTAAAGTAATTAATTTAATATTCGAGGCTTTCGTTGCTTGATTCCGACGTTTCGCGAACATTTTAGTACGCTTCATCAGGGAGGAACGACCCGAAAGTAATTAATTCTTTTAAGCTTGACATAATATCGCATTCTATTTTATTTGACAATCACGATAAATTTTTTGTGCCACAGCCTAATATATCTCTCGAATGTTTATTTAACTCACGAGTCGCAGAAAAGACTTTCACGTTACTCGTTAAAGTATGTCTCTGGTGATACATATCTAATTCGCCTGTACCACACAGAAATGCCGATGGGGCAAGTACCGGTTTTGGAGATCGACGGCAAAAAGTACAATCAGTCTAGAGCCATCAGCCGTTACCTCGCCAAGAAGTTTAATCTCTACGGATCTAATGAAATTGAAGCCTTGGAGATCGACGCCACAATCGATTCCATGGAAGACATGAGACAAGGTGAGAAGTAACTGCCGTTACAGTTGCTACGATCGGCAAGCAACAACAAGTGTCACAGCGGCAGAGTGGTGATTACGTAAAAGTATACTAGTATAAGTGCTCAACTTATACTGGAACTACCACACTATTTCTATATTTACACGATAAGTGATTACTCATCGTCATGCGTAACACGTTAAACAAGACGGGTGAAGTTTAAAGTTAATTTATGCGTGGCACTCTCGTTGAGCTATGAGCGAAGTGAAGGTCATTTCATAATAATATCTGCACATTTCCTACACAATATTTTTTATCCTGCTTTATATTATTATATACGTCCATCATTTTCTCTCGTATCATTTTCTATGTCGCATATTTTTCTTTTACGTTATATTTCGCGTGGCTCATTCTCTCTCTCTCTCTCTCATTCTCTCATTTTCTCTCTCTCTCTCTCTCTCTCTCTCTCTCTCTCTCTGTCTCTCTCCTTCTCTCTCTCTCTTTTCCTCTCCTTCTGTCCCTCGCTGTATATTCATTTATATTATTTCTATCTCTCTAGAGAGAACGATTTGTTAAATCAATAAACGTCTTTCTTTGGAATAATCCAAACAAATTTTTTGGTTGACACAATAAAAATATTTCTTTGGAACTAAGCCGCAAATAAATATTTTTGTTACGTCAAATAAAATTTTGTTCGATCAATAAAAAATTCGTTTGGACCATTCCAAAGAAATGTCTATTTGATTCAACCAAACTGTTCTCTCTGTATATCTATGTGACGTAAAAGTTTTAATGTGAGCATTCATTTTGCAGCATTAGGCATCTACTACTGGGAGAAAGACGCCGCCATTAAGGAGAAGTTCAAGCAAATCGCGTTTGAGAAATACCCCGTTTGTCTCAGCAAGTTTGAGGAGCAAGTTAAGAAGAACGGTGGCTACTTCGTCGGCAAAAAGGTAAGGATTTTCAATCACTGGCGTAGCAAAGTATGATTTCTTTCTATTTTTTATATTTCTTCGATCGATTTAATTGCGTTTAACGTGAACTTATCGTCACATATGTCAACGCGCGCAAAAATATGTCACTTATTAACATCTATCTCTCTCAAATATATGTTAATATATACTGCTGAACCCATCTTTCACTTTTTGTGGATTATCTAAGTGCAAATGAAGCTAATACGTGGATATAAGTGAATAATATGTGCAAAGATGGTGAATCAAATTAGTTTGTTGGCGGTGCAAAGATATTAAATATATCTTTGCCTGTAGTTTAGATTTTACTTGTTAATTTATAAAAATATACAAATATCGGGCGATTTTCACAGAAAATGCGATTTTCGTATCTACAATTTTTTCTTTGCAAAAATCCAAAATCACATTCTTGCATTTTCAGTTGTCATGGGCGGACATTCAGTACGCGGCGTACGTCGATATGTTGTGTGCGTTCACGGCGAAAGACATCAACAAGGATTATCCGGAATTGAAGAAATTGGTGGAAAAAGTTAACGCCCTTCCTAACATTAAAGCTTATCTCGAGAAGCGTCCAAAGTCGATATTTTAAATCAGACCAATCTGTAATTTTGTATTTGTCGTCATTGATTGCGAACTCTTACTGTCACATACAACTCTTTGCTAAACTTTTCTCGCCATGATGTTCTGTAAGAAAAGATTACACGTCGACATATAAATTCGGAACAACATTAATCGGTCAGTTTGCAGCGCAACAAGTGTTAATATTATTACATGATAAATGTAAAAATATTATTACATGATAAATGTAAAAAAACATAGAAGTTTGTCGAATAAAAAATAGAATTATCTTCGAGCATTACTGCAGTCCGTGTTCTCTCTTAGGAAATATTTTGCATTCATAATTTTTGGTCTTTTATTTCGTCTATTTTAGATAAGCTATATATATAAATTTAGCGATAAAATACAAAAAATAATAGTTTATCCCGAATCTTTTGCTCCCGAATTACATCATGTACACTGAGTGAAAAATACTTGAACATTCATTTGTGGAATACAAATTTAATTTACAAAAATGAATTCGCAGAAATAAATTTTATTTCACGGAAATAAATTTGATATCTCACAAATCAATTTTCAAATATTTTCTTCTCAGTGTATGTGCAAAACCTCTTCACTCAATATCATTGTTAATAGGTGCAATGCGATAAGTACTAATAAGAGCAGTGCAAGGATAAAGATACACTCATGGAATGAAACAACTGTGCAGTTGATTCAAAGCATGAAGGGGATCATCGATGTGCACAACTGTTGGAATATATTGAAATAGATACAGTTGCTACATATTTTTATTTAACAAATCGTCCATATTGTACAGCTTATGCAAACAGGGCGGCACTGATTCAATCAGCGTATGGATATACCTGTGATCGATCGAATTATGAAACGGGAGACTTTCGATCGCTACAATGTATATATGCGCGTAGAAAAATAAATGCTGAGGTCACAAAATGCACGACGAGGAGTGACTGCTGTTCCGCCGAAAACTAGTGCCTTTCTCTTAGATAGCACATGGACGTCCAGTGGATGTTCACAAGACGTCTATTTCTGGACATTGTATGACCATTTTCTAAAACAAACCCGTTTTCCGTTCGAAATCAAAATTAAATAAAAATACTAAATAAAAAAAAAACCTTTTTCTTTATGTTATACACGAGCATGTCTATTGGAAATCTTCTGAATAATGTAACTATTTAATATAACAATTTTTAATATAAAAATGTACTTCATTAATAATGACATATAAATACTAGATTTATAAATATTAAAAATTATTGCTTGGTGAACATAATCTTATTTAATATTAAATGATAGTATAGAAAACATTAAACATTTTCTTTCTTCATGCATATTGAATATTGTTATAAAAAGTAAATGTAAAAAAATATTTATTATAATATTGACAGAATATTTTTAACAATGAAAGTAAAGAACTTTTTTTAAGTATTTCAAACAAAGTTTCAGTAATAAAACACAGTGTTTTTTGAAGATTGATATAAAAAAATCATCAATTTTAACTTGGATATATATCGAACGTCCATAAGATATACTGTTTCGGATATTCGTTTCGGGTTCAAAAAAGAACATCCTACACAAGTCCCATTTGTGTCCACAGGTGTACAGGCATAATCCGGATTTAAAACGTACATCCATAAAACATCCTGTGCTATCTAGGTCTAACATCGCTCTCACGATAATAACAGAAATAAATAAGTTAATAAAGGCTTTTTACAAGCAACGCGTGCTGCACGAGTTCTTGGATCGCGATTAGCGACGTCAATCGCAGAAATTACTCGCGCGTTTTATTATCCACGACGAATGAAAGCGAGAAGCTACCTGTAGGTCGATTCTTTGACTTTATAATACGACGATGTCACTGACATGGTGTGTCGTCGCGTAACTTTTCTGTCAAGTATTATACCTGTGCGACGACAACATAACGACACTGTCGTGACAGAAGTGACAGAATCACTTCAGGCTGGTATTAAACCGACAACTTTTATATTTTGTCACACCATCCAAACGCGCGCGCTATTACGGAAGTCGCGAGTTTTCGCGCACGATGTGTGATTTTGGCTGACATTCGTTGCTTGAAGTTTCTCACGTGGAAGATTAGAATTACCAACGGAAAGGTTAAACAGCTATACTCATAGAGATGTTCTTACTTCGTTTGCGAAATAATCGCGCGAACTACCCACGTAATAATTTATCCGTGAGATATTCTCCTTTTTCATCTCTCTCTCTCTCTCTCTCTCTTGAATGGATCTTTCCTCACTGAAGTACTCGCATAAAATTCTGGACACGCGTAAGTATTTCCCTCACAACGCTTCGCGAACGACTTCCTGTATCTTCTCCCGCAATCCTGTATTCCGTTATTCATCGCAATTTCTTCATTATCGAAATGTGCTCGAATAAATTTCCTTCCCTTCCCACCGCGTGGTAGGTTCGCTCTGGAGAATTTGCTCTTTAGTGTCTACACAGTATGCAACGCAATCATCATCGATTATGCAATGTTTCCTGCATAGTCGCGCGGAAATTAAATCTCGCATTGTTCGCGTGGAATTCCGCGATTCGAACAAACTCGTCCAGGTTCGATGCGTATTCGTTCAACGCCTCCGTTAACATCCGGTGATGACACACTCTGTCACACTGTCAAACGCGAAGCGCGGCGCGTACTTGGCAATACGTGCTGTCATGATTTTTGTAGCTGAGAGTCGGTCAAGATTCGCAAATCATTTCAAGTCTCGCCTTAAATCTTATCTCGGAGTCGGTGATGTCTCTAATTCGAGAAGCGACGTTCCCTCGTCGAGACCGGATGTCAGGTAACCAGGTCAAAGTTCAGCTCACCCATGTATCGCGCCAGTTCGGACCCAGTAAACTCGGTCTCGTCGAGGTCCTGGAGGCTGGAGTTGCTGATCGTATTGGCGCTCTCGATGCTCGGATGGCTACGGAATCGCGGCGATGTCGGCGGCGCGACGTCCGACCTTGACTTGGTGTAACTGGCTGATGGTAACTTCCGATGATGCGCGAAGAATCCCTTCGCACCAAAGCCGAGTCTCTCGGTGAGGATCCCTGCTGGAAATGCGACAGTGCTGAGAATATCTCTCGGTAACACGAGTGGGAGTGAAGCCGACTCTTTTTGTCGCCTTTCAGACAACTGTCTAATCGATTGTCTAATTCCGCTGTAAAGTCATTTTCACCTTTGGTGCCAATGAAATCATTTTTTGCCGAATTTTTGCGAGTCTCTGATATCAGATTGTCACTAAAGTCTTTTCCTGTAAACATTCAACACGTGTTGACATGAACAAAGCATTTCTTAAATAGAAAATCATGCTGACAAATAAAATGTGTATTTTATGTGTACATTATATTTGTAATATAATTTAATTCTTTGACAAGTTGATATTCTTTGACAATTGACATTCTCAACGGATTAGACAGATGTTTAGCAGATGGCGCAAGCGAAAGCGTTTGCTTCGAGGTGGAAGAAACAAAGCAAGAGCATACGTTTCACACGAATGATCTTCTGCTTCTTGTTCCGGAGAATTCGCTCATGAGCTTCCTCGCCCTCGGGGCAGGCATCAACGTCTCCTAATGACAGACACGCGCACGATTACACGTATGATTCGCTCCCGCGTGTCTTTACCCCTGTATCTTTTCACTCTCATCCCCGCGAATCTGTCTCCTATTTGCACGAGAGTGCAAGCGTCTCTATATTTCCACTCTGTATTTCGGAGCATCCTAATTCAATAAATCGCACCCGGGACTGTCGCCTCGCGTTACTTCGCCGTATCATGCTCTCATGAGATAATATTTCGCTTGTGAATAAACACGAACAGGCGTTACTGCAGAGCGGTAAACACGAGAAGACACCCTCCGTTCTCTTGTCTCCCGCTGAGAGTCCCTCAATTAATTAGATAAATACGACAGTCGAAGCAGTCGGGACAGCCTTCGTGTGGTCGATTGGGGTTGAGCCTCACAAACACATGTAACAGTAATATAACTGTTAGTTATAATTTCCCACTCAACAATGTAACTGTTACACAACACACATGTTGTATTGCATTTATATTGTCGAGTGAGAAATTAACATAATTATATAATTGTTACTTGGTGTTTGTTGGGTATATATATGCAAAGGGAATGCCTTTGTCTCTTGTGGACCAAAAGTGTGTCCAAGTTACATACAAGAGAGAAAGGAGATAAGGACTAAAGTCCTCTGTGCGCATACGTTGAAATTGTAGAGGATAAAAATCGCTGAAACTATTGGCTGGCGACGATTTCGACGTATGCGTGCAGAAGACAATTAGACCATATTTCTCCCTTTTCTTTCTCGCACCTTCCTCTCTCACAATCTTTCTCTTTCGTACGCAACTTGGACGCACTTTCAGTGCTCGCATTCCCCTTTCATGTGTACACTAGGATTCATAAATGCCTTTACCGGTATCTAGAGAATTGGACTTTTTCGATCTGGCGCATCGTTTCTCAGTAAGCGTGAATCGTGATTGTTAGTTACTGAAAGAACCGACAACTAACTAACAGTCACGATTCACGTTTACTGAGAAACGATGCGCCAGATCGAAAAAGGCCAATTCTCTAGATACCGGAAGTGTAAAGGCATTAATGAATCCTAGTGTATATGTTCTAAGGGTCGAATAAGGGCGCGGACACAGACGTTACCTAAAGCAGCAGCTTTTGGCGAACGATGTATCCTTAGCAGGTACTCGTTCGCCGCCACGTTGTTGTTGCCCTCGTTCAGACCCTGCTTGCTTATCGACGTCATCATGGTGAGTTGGCTGGTGTCGGAGCCTCTGGATACGCTTCTGGCGTACTCCCTGCCACCGGTTTCCCTGATCGTCGCCTGATAAACAGCTCGTGTTTGTTGCTCACCACGTGACGCCAAGCCATTTAGCTCGCAGGAGTTCGCGTTCGCCAGGCCAAAGTGCGAAGAACGCTGCTGTTCGTCGCTCACGGATATCGAAGGTGACGGCTGGATGTCGTCGACACGATATCGCAAGGACCGCTGGCATCGCGACAAGCTGCTGTAAGTCGGCCGTCGAGGACTGCTCCTGTGCGAAGAGCACTTCCTCACGCACTGTTTGGGCAGCATCGACTACAAGAAAGGACGCAGGTCAACGGAGAGAATCGGGAGAACGGTGGATTGTCGATTCGCTCGTCGCGCGATTATCCAGACAAATTATCACCAAGTGAGATATTCGATGGTGGAAGAATCTCAATTATTTTAGTTACATTTATGAGGAATATGCTGTGTATATTGATTTAATTATTAAATTTATTTCGCACAATGATGTAAATTCTGCGTTGTAACAATGTAGCAAGAAATATACTCAACGTTATTCTCACAAATGTTTATATTACATTTTGTATAATATATTATTTTCAGCACATTTTCATCATTTGTCTCATTATCTATTTCCAATAAATACGCGTGCCATATGAACCATTTATGAAGAATGCAACTTTTACAAATCAACTAGTATTGTTATTGCCAAATTTACGTAATAATTGTCCATCTGTCCATCTGTCCATTTTGGTAAAGTCGCGAGCTAAGTTTCTTTCGATGATTATCGGGTGTAAAATTTATAGTGAAATTTATGTATATTATAATTCTGTGTGTGTGAGTGTGTGTGTGTGTGTGTGTGTGTGTGTGTATGTGTGTGTTTGTGTGAGTGTGTATACAGGATTGGCAAAAGGTCCGGAAACGATCAAATATCTCGAAAAGGATCAACTATAGCGAAAAATATGTAAGTAGCAAAGTTGTGGGGCTTAATAAAATGTACCTAATGATGAAAAAAGCTGTTAATGTTTGGCTCGGAATTTGGAATGACATTTTAGTGACTGACGAATTTATAAAAGAAAGACAAAAAATATAAACAAACAAAAACGTTTTCACCGGAATATTTAAACAAAATATTATTATTTTCGTTTATGATGGCTAAAAATTTAACTTTGGGTGGAGAACGAAGATCATACGAAGATCAAATTGAATTTTTTAAATTGGACCCCCCACTTTTTTTTACATATTCTTGTAGCTTATTTCAAGGGCTTTCCAAAAACCTATAATAAAGTATTTTTTTATTAGGCATATTTAGAGTTATGAGGCTTGAAAGGATTTTGGTCTTTAACTGTTTCTGTTTCGTAAAAACGTATCACTGTCTTCTGAACGGTGGATTTAGAAATAAAATTGCGATCAGGATATGCAGCATTGAATGTGTAGATCAGTTGTATGATTTAGTATAGTCTTTTTTTATAGCTTTCTTCGTATGATTTAATATGGTCTCCAAATTTTCGATAAAGAAAGAGCATTATCTTTTCATTATCGGTTAACATTTTTAAAAAAGAAATTTGAAATTGTAGTTGGAAAAAGAAAGGGAAAAGACAAAGAGTAAGATGCGAGAGAGCACGACTCGTTTTTAAAATACAAAGATCGAGAAGCGTTATCGTGAAGCGCGGGTATGCGCGAGTTTTGACTGAGCACGTGTGATATTACGTAGTGAATGAATAACCGCGTTCGATGCGAGCTAATGAACAACTAAGTCGGTCATATCGTTTAGCTCGAGACACGAAAAACAAAGTTATTCTTGTTTTTCTCCTGTGTTTATGTTTTTTAGGCTCCCAGCCTAGTTAAACTAGTCCGGAGAGCATTAGCTGCATTACAAGTGCCGCGGCAGATAATCTGGCGAACTTTGAAAGGTGATAATCGCTACCCGTACCATATTCAAAGAATGTAGAATTTATTACCTCAGTATTATTTCAAAAGGTTGAAATTTAGCAATTGGTTTCTTGAGCAATTTGACAATGATAATTCATTCCTATAATACAAAAATAATGTGGACGAATTAATCTACATTTACAAGAAGAGGAATTAATAATCAAAGAAATTATCATGTATAGACTCATGAAAATCCCAGGACTGTTAGGAAATACAGATTCCAGCTGTTAATGTAAACTGTAATCTGTTAATGTAACAGATAAAGCTGTTAATGTTTGGCTCGGAATTTGGAACGACTTTTTAGTGACTGACGAATTTATAAAAGAAAGGCAAAAAATGTAAACAAACAAAAACGTTTTCACCGGAATATTTAAACAAAATATTATTGTTTCCGTTTATGATTTCAACGACGAACTTTAGAGGTAGTGCGAGAATGAACCAACTACGTTTATCTTTTTTTGTTTTTCCAAAACGAAGCAAAAACAAGTATATCTCCAAAGGACTTTTTTATCGATTCCCTACACGCTTCCAAAGCTTAAATTCTGGACATCCTGTATGTAAAAACTAATATAAATTATATATATGTGAGTATGAATATATTGTGGAACATTATATATATATGTGTGTGTGTGTGTGTGTGTGTGTATGTGTGTATTTAAATAATTTAAATAATATAATATAAATATGTTTAATAATATGATATAAGTTATATTATCAGAAGTTTCCAAAAAAGTTCGTTCGGATCGTAAATTATTTTATCGGCTAAAATTTTTTTATAGCTTTTTTTATACGGAATCAGATAAGATAATAAGATCCAAAAATATGATAAAAAGTGATGGATAACGATGGCAGATGCATCGTTGGATTATATTTCATATATACCACTATTATTAATAAAAGAATTAATAAATAGAAGGAACTGTAATAAAAGAAATAGCTGAAAAGTTGACAGACTTTTGTAAGCCTATAATATTATATTATATTCTAATTATATTATATATATATATATATATATATATATATATATATATATATATATATATAGTATTATTTATATTATAATTCTTTTAATTATATTATTTAATTATAGTTTGAAAATTGTTTTAATTACATTTACATTTAGCAAACATAAGTTTGCTTTAACTTGTAATCACTTTCAGAGGCGTGCGCTGAATTTTCATGCGAGAGCATAATTTCTCGATTGCAAAGCAGCTTATGAGATTAAAGATTAACCAGCTAAATCCTACTGAAGGAATGCCTGCGGACTCACCTTGAAGGCTTCCCTGAATTTGTTGGACATGATATTGTAGAGAAGCGGATTCACGGTGGTAGACAGATAATAGAACACCCCTGACACATACGTGAGGGTGGTATATACTATCACCAAAGCATCCTCCGGCTCAGATCGGCTACTTTGAGCGTACACGGCCAGCAGTCTCTGGGCATGAAACGGCGCCCAGCAGATGAAAAAGGCCACCACCACTGCGACTGTATGAACAAGAGCGAAATTCAGTTAGGTCGGAAGAGAGAGAGAGAGAGAGAGGTTGGTTGGTCATTGGGAGACAGGAATGAAGTGAAACGAATTTGCCTTACTCTCTGATTTACTACTGTGCAAAATAAAAAAGAGTGTAAAACGAAGTAAATCGTGCCAAATGGAATAAATAAATCGCGCGAAGTGAGACTCAGTGCGTGACGTAATCTAGATTTATTTACACTTTTCAGTTTGCAGAGAAAGGGTAAGAGACAGAGAGAGAGCACAACATTAGTTGCGAGATTCTCGTTAAACGGAACGCTCGAGACCTCAGACTGCTCATGAGTTGCCGCTGATTGATTGATCGTAGATATGTGAGAATAATCCAACCCACATAAATTAAGTTTCGAGAAAAATGAGGATAAAAATTTAATTTAAAAAGGATAGATAACACTGAGGTTTCTCGCAATCGTCCAAGAAGTCAAGTATAGTCAATTTTCTTTTCATTAAGATTTATTGGCACAAGTTTAACTCTTAAAAAACAATAATTAGTAAAAAATGATGCAAAGAAAATAAATTTAGTAGAAAATAAAACCTATGTTTAATTAATTTTAGGCGCCTAAATAAAGTTTGAATATTTTTTTGTTTTATGTAGAAAGACTACTTGGACTACTCATTGGCAAAAAACAAAAACTAAAAAATCATAATTTTATGAGTTGATTCTCTTATTTTTGTATAACTATGGCCAAAGTTAATTACGAGAAATCTCTCCTACGACATATAATTAAGGAGTATCGTGAAGTTCGGAAATTTACGTGCCGGTAAGTCTCTCCGAAACTCTCCCGACGTGTTGCGAAATACTCCTCGCAGTACTGAATATACAAATTGGGTCTCTCTTCGAGAGACAATAACGGCCGTAGCGAGGTTTATCGGGAAAATTCATGTCGTTCGAATATCACAGCATCTTCTGAGATACCATAAATATCGTTAGAATCAATTCGAAGATAAAAGAAAAGAACCGTGTAGAACGCAGTTAACACTGCCATGTTACTGATTATCGTTGATCCTCTCTAAAAAAAGACATGTAAGAAATTTAATTGTTGCCGCTTTTCTGCGATGCTGATTGGTTCTCTCGTTTAGCTCACTTCATATGGGCTGCGATTTGTTTCGTGTCGTTTACACTTGTCAAATTACCAGGCAAATAGCTGTCATCGCGTTAGTTAGATCACGAAAAAAAATACAGAAGAGATATGTCTCTCTCTGTCTTTCCCTGTCTTTCCCTGTCTCTCCTTGTTTCTCCCTGTCTCTCCCTAGCTCTCCCTGTCTCTCCCTGTTTCTCCCTGTCTCTCCCTGTCTCTCCCTGTCTCTCCCTGTCTCTCCCTGTCTCTCCCTGTCTCTCCCTGTCTCTCCCTGCCTCTCCCTGTCTCTCCCTGTCTCTCCCTATCTCTCCCTGTCTCTCCCTGTCTCTCCCTATCTCTCCCTGTCTCTCCCTGTCTCTTCCTGCCTCTCCCTGTGTCTCCACGTCTCTCCTCGTCTCTCCCTGTCTCTCCCTGTCTCTCCCTATAATTATTAATTAATTAATGCATATTTCAACTTAATTTTTATTTTATTTTTATTTTACATTTTTTATTGCTTTTTATTAGCTATATGGCGCGCCCATAGCGCGCGCATGTATTGTTCTAGTTATGCAAAAATTGCATTGATAATTGTTTTGTTATCGAGGACCCGATTAAACCGCAAGCGGACAATCCACCAAGTAGAAACTCTACTGAGATCGCACACGACTACGCATGCCTGTCAGCGAAACGGATAGGAAGCAAGCCAAGGTCGTATTGACCTGTATGTAAGTGCAACATAGTGTAAGGGTATGTATTGAGACAAATCGCCGACGACACGACGCCATGGTGCCATTCATCTTAGGTGCCATTTGCTTTCATTTGACTGTCGCTCTGGCAGGTGTCTGGACATTCGCGATTTCATTGGCGCCCATCGGGAAAATGAACTTTTATTACTCTGCCTCCCGCGCCGATGACTGCGGAGCACTGTGTACTCGCGACTATTTCAGGGAGGTGAACGTGTATGGAAAAGATTCGAAGTTCCGTTTGAAGAGATCTTCGCAATACACGTCAGGTAGCGACGAGAGCAAGAGAGATATATCGCCGTCTCATTCGCGGCGGAGCAGTCGGTGAAATTCGGGGGATTCGTAGGGATTCCCGCAATAGTAAAGGATTCGCGCGTTTATCTCGAGCCCAAGGGATCTTTTGCGGGGTATTCCCCGCAATTTCTCGGCTATCGAGACTATAAATAAGCACACATTTCGCATCGAACGCGAGAAAAATGGAGGGAATCGCTTACAGACAGAGCGCGGCAAGACTTCACGATTTTTTTCGCGGTGATTTACCTCGCCCACTCGATATCCAACTCGTGTGCCGTTTGTTCTTCGTCCCTTATTTATTAAAAATTACATCCGTCGCGGACATAACACAATGCATGATAAGGCTTTTTCGCGAGTAGTCGGTCACGCATCAGCGCGTGATGGATCCATGTTCAGTTAAAGTGAGTCGGTCCATCGAGTTTTCAGGAGTGATGTGTCGTTTCGGATGGGCAGCGAATGTGTTAAGGCGCGAAATAAAGCGGTACCGCCTCGATTGTCTCGTCGAGTTGGAGCTTGGCAAGAGGATTGCAAGAATAACGGACGAAAAAAGAGATGACTGCTGCGCCCAGAAGCACCTTTATTCCAGCATCTCCTTGATGGATATTAAAGGATGACAGATGTGGCAGATGTTCAACGGACAAAGGGCTCGCGCGGGACGGGAGAAAGTTTCGAGATCGATTCACGCAAATTCCCGCGCGGTAATGGAAAAACTTGGCGGGTAAGCAGACGCTTGCTTACTCTGGAAAGCCGAAGCGACGGTCCTCGCAGTTGCTGCACGAGACAACGGACGCGTCGGAGAAAGAATCGTTTGTGCGTTTTTGACATTTACCGCGGCGCGGAGAGACGACCGGTGGATATAACGGGCAGATAAATTATCGTGAATGAAGTCGTGGCTTTCCGGTGGTATTTTAGATAACGGTACGAAACTCCTCCGGGCCGCGCTCCAAATTCGCGTCGAAAAGTTAACAACATGGAATGTCGAGAATTATGCTTGATCGGCGCTATTTCCGTCAGAGTTTCGAGCAATTTTCCTCGATATCGTAGCATTTAAGTCTCGAGACAAAAAAAGCAGACAATTCTCTGCAAACAGATTTTCCATATAATTTGTAACGGATTCTATGTTTGATTTAATGCTCGATTTTATTTGTACGTCAATCAGCACTAAATAAATTTAATGATAACAATAATTATTATAACTTTGATTACTACTAATGAAAATAATTATTATTGATTAATTATATAAGAAATTTGTTGGTGAAACTATTCTCTTTCTCTCAAGATCAGTATTAAATAAAATTGATAAAATAATAATAAGCGAATAAATTAACTTCATTTGGTACTAATCTATACAAGTTATAAATATTTAATATTCTGTTACATGCTCGTTACAAACAGGCATAACAGATCGAACAGCTGCGAATTCAAAAATAACGAACGAGTGAAAAAGCGGACGATGGATGGAATATAAATACAAATATAATATAGCGGGAAAAGCGTTCTGCAATTTTCAGAGAAAATCCACCGGCAATTGTTTACACATTGCAGTATGTACATTTTGGTCGTAAATCTCGAATCGTTTGATACATGAACTCCTCAAAGCACCAATTCGAAATATCGCTGTCATATTCCCTCGTGATTTCACCGCGGCAAACAAAATATCCCTCACCAATTCGCCGCGGAAGGACGGCAATAAAATACGTATGTTTTTTTCTGGTACACAGTAGAAACTTGATGGAAAAGAAAAGGAAAGAGAACCAGTGTAAGGTAGTGGAGGAAGTGCAGCGAAAAGAAACATCCTACAACGTGATACAAAGGAATTGTTTTCCTCGTAGAATAGCTAGGAACATAATTATGAGAATAAAATTGTTAAAAGGGGATGCGCTGGGATCGATAATGAACTCCAAATATGTCGATAACGTAGAAACGGCTGTTATCAGCATAATCACGTTATTCTATGTATAGATCATACGTAAATATGTGTTGCTTTGTTTTACTATGTTTTTGCGCCAACTTTCCCGATATTTTTTAAAGCTTTTAAATGTTCTTTGAAAATTTTCTGAGCGGAACAAACTCGTGTTCAACACATATAAACTGCTGACTTTTTTCAGATAAATATTTAATTTCAACTGACAGATCAATTTACATTTGAAATACCTTTGTAATTAACTTTGTAGTTTTTTTATCGTTTTTACCGCAAAACAACATCGAGAAATGTTTCAATTTATTTTCGCACACATTTCTCTTATATCAGAACATTTGTAATTCTGTACAGCTAATATAATGTAAATCTATTGCAGAAAAATGTCAGTATTTTATCGATAAAGTTTCACACTTCAGCATTCCCTTAACTTAGAGATCTACAAAGTGTCCGATAGGCAAGCACCTAAAGGTAAGGCCCGATCTACAATAGATGGAGTAAGAAGTAGGAGTAGGAGTAAGACGAAATGGAAATAATTTATTTCGTCTACTTCCTTACTCCAGCTCCTTACTTCAGCTCTTACTGCTTAATTCAGGCTTACTCCATGTGATGTTTACGGGCAAACTTTTATTGGAGTAAGGGAGTAAGAGAAATAATTATTTCCATTTCGTCTTATTCCTACTCCTACTCCTACTCTTTACACAATCTATTGTAGATCGGGCCTTACTCAGTGTATATTTTTTCAGATAAAAAACATATTTTTCTTTCTCCTTCTCTCTCTTTCTGTTTTTTTCTTTTTTTTTTTGGAAACGAGATTTCATCGTGCGTGTACATCGTCGGACGAACGGAACTCGCCTAGGGCGAGCGTTAAAATGATGGTCGACATTTTTATTTCGATTATCGAACGACGAAGTTAACCATTGAGGGAACGAAGATAAGCGATC